GGCTCTAGACGATCCGAGAGTCTGAAAAACGGCAGGCGGGAATTTCCCAACGAGCGAAACGCGGATATGAAGACCTGGTGGCTCTTGTCAGTGAATATACTCCAGAAGCAGGTACCTGGTAGTAAAGCAGGTTTCACGCCATCCACCTTCGGTAGAAGTTGAAACCTCTTGGACAGACCTTAGCACGGATTTCTGAACGCTTCTTCAGACGAGAGTGAAGCTGCTGCAAATAACCGGACTGTCCTTATGGAGACGAGCCTAAATAAAAGTTCAGTGTTTGAATTGTGCATGGGGCAGGGCACTTGCCACTAACGCCGGCGCACACCTCCAGGGTCCGGCAGCGAGTGTGTCGACCGGGCCACAGTCGCTGCCGCAGCTTCTGCCCGCGCCCCATTCGTCACACTGTTTACAGTACGCGCCTGCGGAACGCTACTGCTTTCAATGAGGCGCGACGCTATTCAATGGACGCCAACTACGTCTGCCACCGTGGTGTAATAATAGAAAGCCGTTATCAACATTCCAAGCACCTTGCGATTATTTATTCGCTTTCCTCTTCAGAGCTGTTAGTATGCCTAATGAGAGCTAGTGGTTCCAATGCCGCCAATCGTGGCTGGCCTTCACGTTCATTACGGGTTGCTATGATGAGCTTGCCTTTGTGATATACGCTACTTGCAGTTCAATAGGTAGTTATGGAATATGGGCCCTTTCATAATGTTTTGCCTCTATATTCATTTGCTGATGGATGGATATTTAATGGGCGCTGTAGTGAGTGCTGCTAATGCGTAAACGTACCTATTGCATACTCGCACATGGTGAGTCATAATATGCAGAAGCACAAAAAGACGCATTATGGAAAAATACAGGGGCGGAGAATTGTCATAATCCCAGGGGGTGCTTTTAGTTTTCCAGCACCTGGCGAATGAAAGCGTCGCATTCAATTGTGTAGAAAAGCACATACCTATAGGTACAGCACATATGTAGGTACGCTTTCCCAACAGCATCCATCACTGTCCTTGCAACTAACGTAAAGCAGTTTGTGTCTCAGACGTAGTTTAAGCAACCACTGGAGCACTATTTATATATGGTGACCTTTGAATTTTAGGGGATGCTCGAGCACCCCAAAACCCCTAATTATCTACCCCTGGAATAGAAATACACCTTACGAGAAGCCGAGACTTAACCCTCGCCCGCACATGCCATTTTCCCATCCTAGAACGCGCATGGAGGGGGGGTTGCCACCCCCCGCGCGCCATTTCGTTCTTGCAGGAGATAGAGCTTCGCTGTAAAGACTTACAGATTCTTTGGAAAGAGGCAAATCCAATGTTACTCAATTTTACCTCATTAGGTTAATCATTGACATTTCAGGTCAGGTCAAACTAAAAATGTTCCTGTTTGGGGTCACCGTTGGAACAACACGTGCTGTGCCTATCATATGTATGTAAACCATACTTCTTAACCCTCGCCCCTGTAGGGGGGGGGGGTGCAACCCCCCCCCCCTGAGGTTTTTCTTAGCTACACGCCGAACCGTTTCAGATAGCCTGCTCAAATTTTTAGTACCCTTTGGGGCATCCTTTGCGCAACTTTTGGTAATTTTTTTTTGTCAAGGTCATGTCAGGTCACGGAGTTATGACGTCATAAAGGGAACAACCTCCGGCCAGATTTACGCTAAATTGGAGATTGCTTCACATTGGTATAAATGCCGACTGACCTGACGCACTGATGGATTGTTTTAGAATCACAACTGGCTGATTTGACATTGGCACAATGTCCGTTGACATTTTGAAGGTCACTAAAGGTCAAGGTAAGGTCAGTGACCTCGGTTGACCTGTAATGACTTCTTGTATGTATGTATGTATGTATTGACGATCAAGAGCAATCCACAATCGGCGTGGCGATTACCACTTGTATGCCTTTTCGGGGTATTTTGATGCCCTGAATTCGAATTTGCTATCCATTTCAGGCATCGTCGGTTGTTTCTTGTAGTTCATTTTGGGTCAGGGTCAGGTCAGTGACGTCACACGCCTGACGTGACCCAATGCACAAATGACCTTGCAGACTTCCGATGCTCCCAACGCATCATTTTTAGAGTTATGACATCGAAATACACACCAAACGATAGAGAATTGATCAAGGATCACGATAGTGAAGGTTTCAAGTCGATATCTCTTACCGTTTTGCCGCAATCGGCGCGGAAATCTGAAACAGTTAGATTTTTTCCGAAAATTTAACCTTTGACCGGTCATAAGTAGGTCAAATGTTGACCTAGGACCAAAAAATATACCACCAATCGCGAGATCTCGTTGAGAGCAATCCGTTGGTCTTTTCCGCTAAGCTCTACGACGCTTCGTTTTCAAACACCAGGGGGGGTCGCACCAACCCCCCCTGCATGGGCGAAGGTGGCAAAACACCGTTTACGGGCGAGGGTTAAAGGGACACTCCCACCTTAACATTAGTTTTGAGTTGAGATAGCCAAATTGGTGGCCATGGCCTGCAAATACCGGTTTGGGCACTCACAACATCGAAAAATGCTTTAATTCGAAGATATGGAATTTCAAACTTGCAGTTTTCGGATTCTAAGGGGCTAATGCATTGAAATGCCCCCTTAGAATTTGTGACGTCAGCGGAGATCTAACGATTTTTAAATCTTAGACTAAAACCAGCGTTAACACGTGGTGGTATACGCTGCTTTGCGCGCAACGTCTGCCGCACTTTAAGGCTGCCAAATTATTGCTTCCAAATAAAGTCGCTAGTAACAGGGGAGATCCCAAAAAGTAAACAAAAGTAAAAGCCTAATATCTTGAAAACCAGTGAATATTTTTCGGTGAAATTCGGTAGATATTCGTTTTCCCTTTTTCTGAACCAAGGGACATCACTTTCATGCCAATTCATTAACTTTTTTGAAGGTGGGAGTGTCCCTTTAAATGCTACGGTGTCACTGTTTTGAGTGTTTACCATTTCTTGCATTTTGACGTAGGCTGGCCGACGTCTTGCATCATTTCACAGTCAATTGACATCAACGGCCTTTTTAATGACGTTCAATCAAGCAAAATGCAGTCACTAGCCCTGAACTTAGTACCTATTAACCCTCGCCGGACCTATTGGTTTTCTACATACGCGCCGGCCGGGGGGGGGGTACGACCCCCCTCGCCGTTTCGCCCATGGTGGGCTAGCGCGTCGAGGGAAAAACGAGCGTGTGCGCCGTTACGAGACGCAGAGATTGGTACCCGATTTTAAGGTCTTAGGTCAACCGGTGACCTCTGAGGTCAGGTCAAGTGCCCCAAGGTACGGTTCAGTTTTTGGTGAATAATTTCGCAACAAATGGCCGCAGAGCCGCGATTTTGGTAGCATCGTATTCGCCTCGCTCAGGCGCGTCGAATGATATACTTTTTGTTCGGGTCAGGTCAACTTAGGGTGATGACCTCAGGTCAAGGTCAGGTCAGCACCTCCAGGTCACGAAGTTCGTCGAAAGAGGTCATGTTGCATATCCTTCGATTCGGCAGGTCTTCCTGAGTCCATTGGTGGCTTTCCCGACTCGCTAGCTCAATTTGATCAAGAGTTATTGACGAAAAACGAATATGACCTTGATGACGTCATAAATGACGTCACGCAAGGTCAACATTGCAAAAGTGACGCATCTAACCTTGCGAGCAGTGCATCAAATCACGATTCTGTGTGCTTGAGATAGTTGGAGATCGTTCCCGGCGCCAGAATAGCAGTTTTCATTTTTCCCCATTGACTGATAATGGTGAGGTCACGAAAATGACCTGACCTCATCTGACCTTTAGGAAAAATCCAAGATATACAAAATGTGAGACTCATAATTGCTACTAGATCCTGCAAGTTTCATTTCCCTGTGACATCTCCTCTGGCAGTGAGGGCGTTGCGAAGTTGCGACATCTGAAGACCGTGCGGAGGTTTACTTATGACGTCATATGTCAGTGACCTGACCTGACCCGAAAATACGGTTGGTGTCAGAAGATCTGGCTTGAATCAAAGGTCAGGTATGCCATGTTTCAGCTCTCTATCTGTAGCATGTTCGGAGCTATCGCGAAAAAAACCTATGGGGGGCGGCACCCCCGCTCGGCCGGCGAGGGTTAAAGTAGGAATATCTTTATTGATTGACAAGGTGTAGGTTAATTTGAAAAAAAAATTGCAATAACGAAGGCTAGTGCGCTAATAACGAGCGCTAGTTTCTGCTGTATCGTTATTACTGCAACGGCAACCGCAAGGCAGCCACGTCCAGTGCGAGCCGCCCCGGTCCGGCATACGGCCATGGGTGCGGCGGCTACTGCCCCGTCGGCTCCACGCATCCGACTGACCGGCCAAGGTCACCGCTCCGTCCGCCGGGAGGGCGGGGTCACGTGCCTGTGATGTCAGGCCTACGTACGGATAGCCTCTACTCCACTGACGGATTTACGGAGCTGATTTTAACATTACGAGGCAACGACAAGTACTCTAACAATTGATATTTTGTTAAGAGACCACATATTAGCGAAAATTGGCGCTTGAACTGAAATGTTTTGTGCGAAAATTTGAAGCCAATTGAATAGATATTCAATAAATTATCGCCGAAAAACAGGGTCTCATGGGGTCTGAAATGCATAGTAGTTCATAAAAATGAATACTTTGTTATAATGTTTGAATTCGAATTTCCTTTCCTTCATGTAGTGCCAAATTGAGAGCAAGTATGGGCCAGTACCTACGTGATACGTCACAAAGAAGACAATGACGCCAACGCGTGACCTATGGTCAGAGTCTGGGTCTGGGGTGACTTTTCTCCGAATAATTTTGCCCTTTTCACGGTGACGTCACGGACAGGGTTTGCGGAATTGGGTGGCGGGGCCGTGTCTCCGTCGTCGCCGACGCGCCGCCCCCTCCCAGACCATGTCGTTCCGTTCAGCAATAATAGAGGAGTCGGCGGCGATTGGTGCGCACTGCTTTGTTGGTGGCCGGTTGCCGTGCCGACAGGCCTGGAGAGGGGTCGAGCGGGCTGGGTGACCGCTGACCAGTGACCGGCGGACGGCTGGCTGACCACCGCGGAGCGACCACAGGTCAGGACACACAGGTCAGGACACAGGACACCTGTCAGAACACAGTGCAGGGCACACAGGTCAGAACACACAGGCTAGGACACACAAGCCATGACACACAGGTCAGGCCCCATAGGTCAGAACGTACAGGTCTCGCGGGTTTTAGAGGTAGGTTTTGTCCCTATGAAATTTAGTAAATTCCCGGGTATATCTTCTTCGTCTTAAGCTTTTAAGGGTTGAATGTGCGATCGATTTATTCATACACATGCCTGCCATGATCCTCTAAAATGGCTTCGTCGTATATCGATTAGTTTCTGAGATATAGCCGAAAATATAAAAAGGCAAAACCTACCGCTTCAACCCGCGAGAGCCGTACATACAGATCAGGACATTAAAGTCAGGACACACAGATCAGTCAACTTACATACAGCACATACATTACATACAGAACATTCAAGTCAGGACACGCAGGTCCCGACACAAACCGAGCGGGACACACGTCAGACGCATAGGTCAGGACACACAGATCAGCGCACACATGTCAGAACACACAGGTCCACACAAGTACCGAGCGATACACAGATCAGACACACAGGTCAGGACACACATGTCAGGACACACATGTCAGGACACACGAGGACACCAAGACAGTTGGCGAACATAGCGGCATCGACTGGCTGCTCTGCGAGCTTTCGGCTGCAACTTCTTTTTTTATACTTTTTTTGCTTTGGAGAGTAGCGACAAATGAAGTCAACCGTCAAAAGTTCAATGTGCTTAACCCTATTCCTGGCGGGCTCCGCCGGGACAAGAAACTGGCGGGGGGGGGGCCGATTCGGCCCCCCCCCCTGAGATCTCGAGAACGAAGCAAGATAGCGACAAGCGGTAAACGGCATCGGATACGCACGGCCAAGATCTACAATTTTTACTAAGGTCATTTTCAGGTCAGGTCAAAGATGACGTCACAGGGGTCGAAAAAGTCAAAATGGCGGCACTAGATATGGAGAGAGTTTTTCTCGAATAACTTTCGAATTAGTCAAGATAGGAACAAACTAAGGGCATCATCGTGATCCTCTCGTCAATCCGCATCGAATGATATATATGTTGACCTCGAAAGGTCAAGGTCAAAGGTTGACCTCAGGTCACGTGACCTCGAGGTCATCATGTATACCATTCGATGCGTCTTGACGAGCTGAACACAATGAGACCATCCACGCGTCTGTATCTTGTTCCTGTACGGAGTTATTGGCCAAAAACCTTTGGTGACCTTTGATGACGTCACATGACCTCACAGCTGCCCAACAGCAAAACAGACCTCAAGGTAGTGAAGGTTGATCGTATATGAAGTCATGTATGGTATATGGGGCCATTCCGACCCGTTTTAGTGGTAAAAACAGGGAGTTGATTTTTCCCCCATTGACTTATAATGGGGAGGTCGCGAAATTGACCTGACCTTAGGTCACCGATATCAAAATTCCGAGATACACAAATTGCACATACTGGTACCCTAACTAAACCCTGAAGAGAAGAAATTGATCGGTCAAAAACTCTAGCTCTGGCGTGATTGCAAACTTTTCTGAGGTAGCGTCACCAAACCGCCTCTGGTGACCTGACCTGAGGTCAGATCAGCTCAAAATTTTCAGACATGTTGCGTAGAAGCCTTTTAGGAAAAGTCAGAAAATTTGAGCTTCCTAGCTCAACGCGTTTGGGAGATATAACCAAAAAACCTCAGGGGGGGGGGCTCCTGAGGCCCCCCCCCGCCAGGAATAGGGTTAAGTCGGCAGCAAAGTCCAATTAGCAATCCGAACTTTAACCCGCGCCCCGCTGGGCTATTCAGCCATACGCGCCCTGCTGGGGGGGGGGCAGATTCTGCCCCCCCCCCCGTCTAACTTCCGAACCGATGGTCGTAGAAAGACGGGGAAAACGGCAATCGAAAGCTCTCAACGAGGCGAATCTTAAGAGCTCATTTTTTTGCTTAAGTAGGTCAGAGGTCAGGTCAAGGTCAGGTCAAGGGTACAAAATGCAAGTTTCTACAGTATCGGCCTTGCACCGTAATTGCCGAAGAATGGACTGAGACTGATTGCCCAGAACGTGTTCTTAGGCTACCAAGACAATATTCGTTGCATACAATATCATTCAAAGGTCAAGGTCAAGGTCAGGTCAGGTAAGGTCAGGTCACCAAAAACAAAATATAGAAAAGGGCATGTGCGACACATGTTTTATGGGTCATTTTATTCATAGAATTCAATAGGCACACTCAATTAGTGATATGGACCACCTCTGGATGAATTTCAGGTCGAGGTCAGGTCAAGGTCAGGTCAAGTGAGGTCAAATTTTGAAGTTGGTTGTTAAGGCCTAAAAAGGTGTCTATCTGATGCAGTTTTTCACGGCCAGTCGAATGGTGCTATTTTTGTTTCCGTAAGAGGTCTAGAAGTTCCAAAAAATTCATTTTTCAAAAATTTTGTGTGTCGTGACGTCATAAAATTTTGAATAACTCCCACATTTTTGAACGGATTCTTCTCAAAATTGGTATGTAGGTGCACATAGACCACTTCTCTGACATATATTCCGGTTTTTCGATACACTCAAAATTTTGGATTTTATAATTATTTTCCGAAAAAAGTCGGTTTTTAGAAAAAAAAAATTGGGACAAAATCCAAAATTTTCAAAAAACCGAGATAGTCATTTGATAGACAAAGTAGAATCACGTATAACCTTTTTTGTTACGTCTTGATTCCTTTAAAAATGAAGATGTTAGCGGCATTTGAAAGTTTGCGATTTTTGAGGCGAAAATGGCGAACATGACGTCACTAAAACGTCATTTTCTCAAAAAAATTTCCGACGGATTTCGCTCACATTTTCAGGAAACGTGTCAAATTGATGCATGATAAGGTACTGAAAGTTTGACGTCGCTGGCGTAACGCGTTTAGAAGTTATTGGCGAAAAACGGGAGGGGGCAGATTCTGCGCCCCCCCCCCCGCCCCCAACGGGGCGCGGGTTAAAAGTGTTCTTGTTAGACTTGGTCATGCACCAATTTTCATTCATGTATCGTTTTGTGATCCCTTTAGCAGAACACTTTGTAACCAGTTTGCTTTGATTTAAACGATATTAGAACTGCATTATCGGCTGATCACCTCTTAGGTGCGACTTCTCATCATTTTTTGGTTCTGTGGATTCATGTTCGCCTTGAGCCAGAAGGTGTTTCTCACAGACATATTTCTACGCAGGTATCTGCAGGCGCCAAGATGCGTGAAATTGTGCACATCCAGGCGGGCCAGTGTGGGAACCAGATCGGCTCAAAGGTACAGCCTGCGGCACCTGCACCGTTTCACCCACTGTCACCCCAGCCGGCGCACAGACCGCATGCTGCATACCGTAAAGTGGGGCTATTTGAAAGGGATTTTACAGTTTTTGGCCTCTCCCTTCAAAGCTGTTGATATTTCCTATAGCATGTAAATTGTAAAAACGTAGTTCTCTGTAACCGCTTTCAGATAGGTCCATTTTTGTTCAGCTAGTAACCATAAATAAACTCATTTTTCTACTTGAAGCCTGTCTCAAATAGCCCCATAGTGTGGGGCTATTTGAGACAGTTTTAGTTGCAAGGAAGTTGAAGAAAATCGGTCAAGCTAAGGATAATTCTTTTAATGCCATGCGATTGGAAATTAAATTTTGATACTTGTGCCAAAAAGTATTTCTTTCAAATACAGTTATGTAACCCTCATATTCAAACTTATCGTTTTTCGTTGGACATAGCATGTCGGTCTGTCAAAAAATTGCATTACTTTATGCTTAGGCTGTCATAATATGATGCGACCCTAAGCTTTAAAAATCACAGGATGATTATATAGGACTATTATTAAGTCAACGACAGTGAAATTTTCAAAATAAGTTGTTGTGTTTGTCTCGGGCGGCGTAAAACATATAGGCCGAAAGTTGGTGGGGCTATTTGAGACAGGCTCGCTAATGCATTTAACACACCGCAATGCATTAAAAAAGGGAAAACAGTTTTCAATATGGTTGAATGAATAGGATGCATGATCGGTTGTTCCATTGCACATCAACCTGTGAAGAAATAACAGAAAAAGGTCAAGCGGTTTTGATTTTATACCGATTTTCCTAGATCACTGCATGTTGTATCGAATGGCCGGTTACCGCACTGCATACGGTACGTATACTGAAGGCTCACCTAACAGTACGTATGTATGATAAATGACCTTCAATGGTGCCTTCTGGTCAACCAGAGTAGATATGGGTCCATTACCGACCACGTCAGTGACTAATGAAGCACATTTTATGCACATATTCACAGAGGTAAGGAATATCGTCACAAACTGGAAGGTCACATTGAGCTACGATGTGTAAACATTGCTTGCTACTAAAAGTATCATGAACCCATGGCCGATTCACCGGTGTTCCTTAGCTCGAACGTTTGATACACTTTAGGCAGATGGCGGTAAGTCTTTTCGGTTGCATCATATCACCTGTTTTGAGGGCCTTGGCATCACAAACATCAGCTGTATTCGGCATACGTTGAGGTTTGACGAGGTGGTTATCATCGGGATTCTGAGACATTGGGTTACACAATCGTCACTACCGTTAACAACATATAATGTCTCCATGAAAAATGTGCTTAGCCCATAAGTAAAACGATAGTTACGATAGATTCGGTTGCAAAGGTTTCAAAACTTCAACCATGTTAAGGTGCAGGTAGGGGTGCTTTTCGTATAACTTAAATTGTGTTTTTTCTGTATTTCTCGTTTAATGCCAAAGCTCTTTCAAAACTTTTCAAAATTTTCAAAAAATCCTATTAATGGAATTCACCGTTAAATTCTATATCACCCTGAGCAAAAATTGATGAAAAATAGCACACGGTTTTAATTTTACAGCAATTTTACCAAGCCAATACCGTACTGTCTCAAATAGCCCCACTGTCTCAAATAGCCCCACTTTACGGTAGTTATCTTTCCAACAATACTGTTACGCGCCCAGCCTACTCACGCACCAGTTTGGGTCGTTACCCGCACTTCCGGTGTGGCACCGGTACGGCAGCGTTTCTGCGAGCCGTTACCGGCTAGGTGGCCGCGCTAGTCGTGGGCTGGCCAGTGGCCGCCCGGCGGCCACTGGCCGCCGTGTCTTCAGTGGCCAGTCTTTGTCCCCAATGTCTGCGCAGAAAGCAACGCACTTGCCCGCGCGGCCACGCACTATGGTTGGAAACGGCCTCACGGATGGCCGGGGGTCAACGCGAAAAAATGTTTTGCCCATAACTTGTTAATGCGTAGACCGACTGCGATGAAACTTTGCATAGGTATACCAGTGACTTTCGTGCATCATACAGTAACTCAGAAATGACGAGGTCACGTCACGTCACGCGATTGTGACGTCATCATTGCAAGTATGTTATAAGTCGCCTATGTCTTTCGTAATGTTATCAATATCGCGAGGCATTTTGAACATGTTTTGAATACTGCTATTACTGAATGGATATTGTTGTTATGCTTTAGGGCGAGAAATATCAACGTAGTGACGCACAGTGTCTTACTTTTGGTCATAAAGGGTCAAAATTTGGAGAAAAGTATTAATGATTTCTTTAGATTGGGCAAAAAAGTAAGAAATAAAATGACGATCAAATGACAAAAAAAGCGTCAGATTAACCCGGCAGTTGCTGGGGTATTTCCCCACCCGCCGTTTCCGGGTGGGGGTGGGGGGGCGTTCAACGCCCCCAGCCGATATCTCGCGAACAAATAGGCGCAGCGAAACGCACGAGGCGGCAAATGAAAGAAGAACGCGACGAGACTATTCACATGAATACTTAAAAGTTGAATTTCGAGGTCACAGGTCGGGTCAAGGTCAGGTCAAACACTTGAAATCGGGCTTTCAGTAGCATGGACTTTAGAACCTCGCAATCGGTGCCTCTTGTCATAAACTCTGTCACAACTGTCACAACCCTTCATATAAGTGCTAAAAGAGTGTCAGATCCATGTAGGGGTCAGTCAAACATAGGCCACTGGCCAGGGTCAAAGTCAGGTCAATCAGGTAAGCACACAACCCCGAAAATTAAAACTGGTACCTATTCGCAGCCCATGACACATGTTTTATGGGTACTTTTGAGCGTAGAACACCATGGTGACATTCATTTTATCATACGAGTACGTGGTTGGTTGAAAAAAGATCAATTTCAGAAATGCATGCATCATGGTCGTGAAGTAGTCACGAGATATTGCCAACATTCAGTTCAAGATTTTGGAAAATGTAGAACGATGATCAAAAACCATAGATAGCCATTGGATTTGCCATGGTATTGGCAGTGTAATGGCGTTTACAGCATGTCTGTATGTCTCTTCTGTCAGTGGATATCCAACTCCATACTCCATACACGTTTACACGATATCCATACTCAAGGTGCAGGGGCGAGCAGTTACTTCTTACGAGGGGTGCGGAGTCGAAGTCAGAGTCGGAGTCAGAGTCGGAGTCGGATTTAGAGTCGCCCAGAGTCGTGGCAACGAGCCAGGAGTCGGAGTCGGAGTCGGGGTCGGTCAGGAGCCCGCAGTGGAAGTCGGAGTCGGTCCGAATCGGAACACCTCCATCACGACTCCGAAACACTGGCAGGGGTCCGGAGTCGGAGACAGAGTCACCCGGAGTCATGGCAACGAGTCAGGAGTCGGAGTCGTAGTCGGAGTCGGATTTGGCGCCACCACGACTCCGCAACCCTGCTTCTTACCATCATTTATTAGGATAAGCGATTGCACGACTGACGAGCCGACCCGGTGCTAACGAAGCGACGGGTAGGTACGCCTCGGGAGATAAAGCTTCACAGAAGATTTTGCGCACAAGTGCGCAGTTTGCTTTTAGGTTCCCCTTACGCAGAATTGAACAGAGATTTATTCTGCCAAAAAGCTCAATGGAGGTCGATGGAGAACTTTTTGTAAGTCCAATGAAACATAAACGTAATTTTGCAAATGTTGCTGTGGTGACACTGCAAACAGAATGCAATGCCGTTCCTGATTTTGAACACGCATGGGAAAAAGAGTCACTCCACTCGATAGCCAACATAACAAGGATTATTTTGATATATGATAATCCAGTTTTACAACGTCATTGAGGTACTCCACATGCTATCACCAGCGCGGTTGTTTAAACCTTTGACGGCGCACCAAAAAAGCCACTATCAGAAACTCCCGATTCCACGTACGATAATGAAGACTAAATGCGCAACTAAATATTTTTTTCTGCCCAATTCAAAACATTTCATCAATTTCAAACCGAATGACACCCCAAATACACATATATTCCGAAATTGCCCATGGCCATCCGTGAGCCCGTTTCCAACCATAGTGCCACGGTGCGATTGGCTTGCTTGGCATGCGTGGCATGCGTCCAAGTAAAACTGATTGTAGGTTAGGTACCGTCACGCTAAATCTGCAGAGTAGACTTCTTTGTATTTGTTAACCCTCGCCGGCACAGGCCATTTTGAGTCCTTCGACGGCACAAGGGGGGGGGGGGTTGGTACGACCCCCCCTCGCGTTTGGCCCCTGATCGAGCTAGAGCTTCGCGGAAAAAACGAGCGTGCTGCCCGTCACGAGACGAAGCCGATGATACCCAATTTTAAGGTCCTAGGTCATCGGGTGACCTTCCAGGTCAGGTCAATGACCCGAAAACCAGGAAAATCGGGACCTGTTAGAAAGTCGTAAATTGTGGCTGCTATGTGGTTTTCCAGGGTGCTGATCACGAATATCGTGTTAGTTTTGATCAGAGATAATGTCTTTAAGCATTTAGACCAGGTCGGGTCAGGTCAGGTCAGGTCAACCGGTAGGGGTTGTGACGGGTATTCGTAATACGTGTCAACCGCCTCTGACAGCTTCGTAACATGTTACGAAGGCACCAAAACTACTTCGTAAATGTTCAAATGGCTGCCAAATTCGAATTCAGCTCCAAAAACTAGCCTAGAAACATGTAAAACTCGAAAAAGTGAACCGAGGTCACCCGAGGTCACCAAAGGTCAATGACCTGACCTGACCTTCAGGTGACCTTGACACCCACCCTTATGCATGGGAGCAACATCAAATCACATGTTTGAACGTTTGAAACCACGAAAAGCTTGCAAACGCGCGGCTAATGCGAGCCGACATGCGCCGAACCGCGATTTCGGCCAAACATGGTCACAGAAAAAGAGGTCACAGGTCAAAGGTCATTGGGGTCAGGGTCATGAAATTTTCAGGGTAGGTGTAAAATTGATCAATGCGAGGGTACTGAAAGTTTCGTCGCGATCGGCCGCTTTTTACGCGAGTTATTCGCGAAAAACCTT